AAAAAAAAAAAAGGATTCGCAAATGGCGAACAATGCAAGAATCTACCATTGAGCTCAAGAAACATACTGTTTAGTACTAAACTAATGGTCTGGATGTTACCCTGTACTTCTCTTTTTTTAAAATTTTTTTACCCTGTAATATCAATCAGAAACAGAAGTGTAGATCTGCTAGATGCTGGGCTCTAAACAGCACCAGTAACCATCACATTTACAAATCACTCATTTATGAGTCTATTATTTCCATGCAGTCTGCTGAAAAGAAAAGCTAGGGGACTGACAGCGAGTAATAATACTAATGAAATGAACTACTCTAGCAAGGTAAAAAGCAACTAAAAAATGATAGTACAACCAGAAAAAGTAATATGCGCGCCTACAAAAAACACGATGATATCCTATCTAATACTGAAACAAGGATGACCTCAAAAACATAACTGATAGAGAATCTAAAGACACTACACGAACGGCGCCAGTGATTCAAGCGAATCATCGAATAGCAGTCCTTTTTAAGACTACGGAATTTATGGATTCAGAAGTCAGTCTACTGTAACAGAAACTGATAGGGCAGTGAGGCCCCATAGAGGTGCAGCTTACAATCATTGGATGTCTGAGTGCAAATGCGTATTGAATCGAACCATACACTTACAAGCTGACTAGACTGACCCTCATGCTAAACTGGGGTAATACAAGAAAGACCGAGTATACGCCCAAAAAAGAACCCGGGATTAACGGTAGAAAAGGATGACGGACCAGTATGCGACTACGCTGCAGTCTGAAGCAGCTACGCTTCGTTAAGCTCATAAACATACAAATTTCTGAACAGATAGATAAGAGATTGTGGGAGTCCCTTATTGCTATGGCAAGCATCATACTAGGGCAACAGACCATGTTGCCATGGCGGAAATGTTGTAAACATATTTTGCAGACACCAAGAATCAAGTAGGGAGTACCGCAATGGTAATCGATGAAAACTGTAAAAGTAAGATTAGGAACGTTAAATCCACGAAAGAAACTACCAAAAACTGCAGATAGTTCATTTTGAGAAGCCATAAAAAGCTCAAATGATGAAGAACAAATTGTCACTTATCGTGATGAATGGCGACACGTTTGCCCTACCAGACTCAGAAGTCTGTAAAGATGGTAGGAGAGAATTAATCAAAAC